TACACTTCTGTATTTTCCTTTCTTTTTTATAAATGTTAATTTTTTAAAGCTATAGCTGCACATGGTTTAAAGAGTCAAGTAATTCTTCAAGGTTTGTTAAGCAAAACAGCAGTGCTCCTCTCTCTTCACGATTTCCCCCTTTACTAGAAGCAATCACTTTCCATTGTCTTAGTTGATTCTTCTATGGATTTCTCACTATGGCAGCTGTAGGTTTAGCTCTGTTTTTTCCTGTCCCCAAAGATACATATATATCATTTTATCCTGTCAAAGATAGTTAAATATAGTTAAACATTTATCTAGATCAAAATTTAGTGTCTATGTTGTTATGGCTCAGCAAACACTACTCAGCTTAGGCAATTAGTGAATTATGATTATTTTTCATCTCCTGCCTGAACAACTCTTGGTTATTACTAGAGTTAATAATTATCATTTTCTGAAAAATTTTTTTACATGTCATTAAATTCAACTGTAAATTGTCTACCACTTGTCTAAATTCACTCTCAAGAAGTTAAGATGCACCTGGTATCTATATCTATCTATATAAAACCAATTTCATGTCCTTAAAGATGTCTCTCCTAGAGTCTTCTGACATTTTCTCAATGTGAATTATTTGTCCTTTATTACTTGTACACACCTGTAGTCTTGAGATTTCCCATTATCATCCCAGGTATTCCCTTTGCTTCTCTCCTGTGTTGGAGCTCCCTGTTTCCATTTCTCTTTCTTCATTTACTCTCTGGTTTTGGTACAGCACATCAACAAGTAGCTTCCTGATAAAGGGTGTATGGGAGAGAAATATTTTGAGACTTTGCATGTCTGAAAATATCTTTACCTACCCTTATATAGTGTTTTGACAATTTGGCTGGGTATAAAATCCTAGAATGAAAATAATTTTCCTTCAGAATTCTGAAGACTACTTCACTGTCTTCCAATTTCCACTGTTGCTATTAAGAAGACCAAAATCATTCTGGTTTCTTTTCTTCCTCTCTGGAAGCTTGAAGAATTTTCTTTTGTCCCCAAATTATTGAACTTTCATGATAATATACTCAGTGTGGTCTACTTTAATCTGTTGTTCTTGGTTCTATCAGACTGTCAACTCATGTTTTTCATTCTGAGAAATTACTGAATTTATTTCATTGAGGTTTCCTTCCTTCCATTCCTCTGTTCTGTTATATGGAACACATATTTTTCAAATGTTGGGCCTCCTTGACTGATTTTCTTACCTTTTTCCCATCTCTTTGGTTTTTTTTTTTTTCCTGATTTCTTTGAGATTTCATCACCTTTATCTTGAAAATCATCTGTTGAGTTCTTCATTCCTCCTATTGAAACCTATTGCATAGTGCTTGTTTCTCTGCTCTGTACATACTTTTCATGTCCACTAACACCACTTAGAAACTATCTGCATTGATAATGAGTGCTCACTGAAGTTCTGTGCTTTGACATCCCAATTATTTTATGCATTTTGGATGTAAATTTAAAGACTTACCCAATTACTCCTCTTCCTTTTCCCCTCTCCACAAATTTCTCACAATTTTGCTTAGCTTTCTTGTATTTAAGTTCAATTATGTGAGTCAAAACCCTAAAGCTCTATTATTGTAGAGGCCATGCATTCAGTACTGCATGTTGAATAGATTCAACCAGACTTAGGAGAGAGAGAAAAAGATTAAGAGAATGACACAAGGAAAGCATATGGGCCACTGGGCATTTGCAGCAGCACAAGCAATTCTAGGCAACTGTTCAGCAATTTGGGAAGGATCATCAGTCACCTCTGGAGCATGACTCTGAAGCTTTTCTCCAATACAATGCACAGGTGCAGTCTATGCTAAACAGATTAGTCAAAATGCCTGGTGACTCAGGTCTGAAACACAGGCCAAATTCTACTCTTTCCTACATGAGTGGAAATGTGTTAAAAATGAGCAACACTGAAGAGGGTGTAGCTGATAGCCAACTTCTGCTTCCTTAAGGAATTCAACAGAACTAGCACAAGTCTTAAGAAAAACTCAGATGATGTAATGGTTGGAGTGGCAGAATTTTTTGTGGAATGGAAATTCTGCAATAGCATTGTGCCACTAACCACAACTGGTAAGGGAGAGGGAAGCTGAGCAGTAAGTGTGTCCCTGGAACCCACGTGCCACCGCTAAAAACTACATAAAGATTCCCAAACTATTCCCCTCATCCCTTTTCCTTTTGGTCATGAAGGATGGATTTTTGAGGCCAGGGAGACAGACAAGACCCTTGCAGCAGGAAAGGGGAAACTGTCCTTTCCTGCGTCTTTTCTGTTAAATTCCATGTCAGACACACCATTATGAGACTTCCCCTTTTGACACATTTCCATATTCTCAAGTGCTACTTAGTTACTTTTTTACTTTTGTTTTAGAGACAGAGTCTTGATATGTTGCCCAGGCTCGCCTCCAACTCTTGGGCTCAAGAGATCCCCCCATCAGCCTCCTGAGTAGCTGAGACTATAGGTGTATGCCATCACACCTGGTGATTAGCTTCTTCTTAAGAGATGAGCATGAAGCATAGAATCAGAGAGTAAGAAGGGATCTGTTGTTGTATCCCCCTATAAATGGAGTAACAAAAACATAAGGCTTGAGACTGCTTCGAGGTCTTTTCTTACCAGCAGGATTGAAATTTTACATCTCTCATCCTGTTCTTCTCTTATCTTGATTTTCTCCCTTCCTGACTCAGTGGAGATTTAGATTATTTGGATTCAGTAGTCCCTCTAGAGAAATGACCAGATGCAAATGCAGACATTGAAGTGCAGACACAGCACTGAGTTGTGATGTGCCAAAAACATTCAAAGGGAAGCAAGCCAAATGTGAAGGAAGAGGGCACTGAAGCAACCAGTCATTCAAGGCAGACACCTGAAATTACCATAAATGTTGTTTTAATAGAGAGACTTCTACCATTACTTGCTGCCAGGTTCAGCTGAAGTGTACTTTATTCATGTCAGTTACATTTGGTGGGTCCCCTAAGGGCAAACTCATCGTGGACAATTGGAATTTTAATGTCCACAAGGTTACAAGCCTTGGTCCTATTTGTAACAACTCTTCAGAGTGTCCTGCACAAATCTGAGGTGGAAAAATAAGAGAACGAAAGGTTGTTGAGAAAGAATGGGACAACGTGTTAATTATAAAAAGGGAAATGTTCTAATTTGGGATTTTTTTTTTTTTTTTTGTAGAAAGAAACCTCAGGGATATTTCAGGTAGTAACCAGGTTTTACATACAGATTGGAGAGGTTTTGTGAATACCTGTTTTCTCAAATTTTTGGTGATAAAAAAAGGGCTCCCAACATTATTAAAGTGATGGGAGCTTACTTGTTAACTGAACAATTAATCCCATCTTTTTATCCTCCCCTATCCCTTTTCTCTTCAGTTGAGAAGACAAGGCATTCCTTGTTTTGAATGTTATTTTCTCTCCAGCTCCCTCCCACACCTCGTGGCAAATCCTATCACCACTATTTTTAATTTGCTGCTTTCCAGGGCATTTGGATTCAGTGGTGGTATCAGCATGTCTTAGTGTGAACAAACCTACCTATTAAACTTACCCAGGGAAATTAACTCCCCCATACTGCACTGAAGTGGAAATTTTTTAAAAATGCATATCGTTTTCCAATGCAAGGTCCCTATCCAATCAGTCCAGATAAAGGAAAATTTGAAAATCTTTTAAGAATCAATTATTAATTGGGGTCTGCATCAATAGGTATAAGAGATAATGGGACAGAGAGACAGTTTCTTTCGGTAGACATATAGTCCTGTCCAGGTCCAAGATTTCTGTGGCAAATACACAGGGTTTTCCCTTTTGGAGGTGGGGGACTATTAGAGGAGCCGTTAGGCTCCCCTGCTGGGTGGTTTACCTCATTTAAGTCTTACAGCACCCCTGGGAGAAAGACACGAGTACAGTAGTCCCGTTGCACAGAAGAGAATGCTTTAGAATTTAAGTAAATTGCTTAGGGTCTCTCGGCGAGTAAGTTTCAGACGTGCCACTGGAACTCAAATCTGCCTATGTTTCTTTCACAGCGCTACATTGCCCAAACAGAGACGTTTTGAGTTGGTGTGATATGCTTTTCCCAGTTCCCAGAAGGGATTCTTTGTGAGAAGTTGTTTCCCTCCCATCTCCTTCAGGCTATTATGGTAAGTGTAGTTATAATAGGAGACTCAGTTTGGTTTCTAATCTTGGGCCAGCACCTGTCTCGGCGGCGTCCTCTCGCTGCTGTCCCAAGCAGTTGGTGCTGGATTCCGCGGTGCTTTCGCAGGAGCGAGGAATCCCCGCCAGAGGGAGGATCTATTCTCAGCCCCGCTCTAAACAAAACAAAACCCAAACCAAAACAATCACCACAACCTAGACCGCGGGCCTCTTGTGGACTGGGGAGAAGAGGGTCGGGGGCAATAAGGCACCTCGGGAGCGCCCTCTGGCGACAGCAGAGTGCGGGGCGGGGGGGCCTCCCCGTCTCCCCCGCGCCGCCGCCGCCGCCGCCGCCGCCGCCGCCGCGCCCCCGCCCGGCTCTCCTGGTTCACTCTCGGTCTCTCACTCCGTGAGACACAGACGGCAGCTTTCCGAGCGAGCAGGGGACAGGCTGCCGCCGCTCGCCCCGAGAAGACCCGGGCACGGGGAGAGAAGGCGAAGCCGGGAGCGCCATCCTCCCTCGCCGCAGGGTTCCCCGAGCCGACGGGCAGCTCCGCGCCCCGGTGCGACACCCTTCGCAGCCACTTCACGGGGCGTGCCAGGACTTGGGGACGCGGCTCCGGAAGAGCCAGGGCGGGCGGCGGCGGCGGCACAGGAGCGAGGGTGCGCGCACTGGGACTGGAGCGGAGTGAGTGGCGGGCTGGGCGGCGGCGGCCGTAGCCGCGGGTGCCTCCCCGCCTCGCCGCTTCACAGGCAGCACCGCCTCCCGGGCCCCGGCCGCCCGGCCGGGTCCTCTGCGCGTTCCCGGGCCCGGAGCCGGCACACGATGCGCCCGGCTGCGTTCTGATCGCCGCCGCGCCTCCGCCTTCGCCGCGATGATCCCCCCCGAGCCGCCGCAGCAGCAGCTGCAGCCGCCGCCGCCGCCAGCCCCGCCGAACCATGTGGTGACCACCATCGAGAACCTGCCGGCCGAGGGCAGCAGCGGCGGCGGGAGCCTGTCCGCCTCCTCCCGGGCCAGCTTGCGCCAGAGGATCCGCAAAGTGCTGAACAGGTGAGTGGCGGTGCCGCGCGAGGGCGCGGAGGGCAGGGGCTGCGGGCGCCCGGCCCGGGGTCCCCTCTGTCCCTCGGGTGGCCCGGAGGTCCTTTGGAACGGGGTCGCGGCTCGGGGAGACCGGGGAGATCGGAGGACCACGCGCTCAGCGGTGGCGGAGAGGCCGCGGCAGCTTTGTCCCGGGGAGCCCCGGAGTGCCGGAGCTGCGGCTCGTCCGAGGAGGGAGTTCGGGGAGAGGCGGGGTTTTGCGTACCTAGCTGCCCTGTGTGTGTCCGCACTCGCACGCTCGCACACGCGTGCTGCCTCACTTTCCTTTCCCACTCCTACCCCAGCTTTGCGCTCGGGGGCCAGAGGGGACGCGGGGACATAGCCGGGGCGGAGGCGGGAAGGCGCCGGGCTGCGGAGATGGCGTGGAAGTCTCCGGCCTCGCGCTGTCGCCCGCCCCGCCCCGCCCCAGAGGCTCCGACCCGTCACTGGGGGATGGGGTCCCAGCGACCGCCCGGGCGGGAGGGAGGGGAACCCACTTCTGCTGCCTGACGCTCCATCGCCGCTTCGGCTCTTGGTGGCTGGGAGGAGGGAAGAGGCGGCCAGAGGCCTGGAACGGACCCACGCGAAGTGCAGAATGTTGCGGGAATGGTGTGAGAAGGAGGCGCCCAGCTATTGCCAAGCGTGCTAAAGCCGGAGGGGGCGGACGCCGATCGCAGGCGCTCCGGTGCTGGAATCTGCGCAGTGGATCGATTAAGGACCGAGGCTTTTTAGGTTTAGGACCCGTTAACGTGAAAACGGGGGCCGCACCGGCGGCATCCCTGACTCAACTGTGATGTGAAAGGGACTTTTTCTACTTAAGTAACTCGAAATGTTTGATGAGCTGACAAAAAAGATCACATAGGGAATGGGTTTTGTGTGGTTTTATTTGGGTGCATGGGCGCTTTTCAACGCATCTGTAAGGGTAACTCTTCTGGTCGCTTACTGTTCATACAGGTTTCTGTGTGGCATTGTTTTGGGTAGCAGAGATTCCCCAAGGAATTCACATGGAACTGTCTGGGCGGGATGGGTGGGGGCTTAAAGCTCTAGTGGGAGCACAAAATATGTACATAAATAGAAGCTCGAAAAATACCCTCATTTTGGGAGTATGGTTTAATTTAGTTATATCCAATCCCAACCCAGTCAACAATCCCTTGTGAAGACTTAATGTGTATTTTACTTGTGGGTACCTCTGTATGTTTCCATTTATTATCAAACAAGAAGAAATTCACTCTGAAGGGAGACATGAGTTGGTAGTATTATAGGAAGTCAAGTCTTTCCCTTATAGCTTAAAATAACACCTTCCAAAATATTGCGTTTGAAAGATAATGAGCAGAATAAATCAAGAAGATGCTGGCTCATTACATATCATATGGGTTTCCTATTCTTTATGAATACCTGTGGGGTTTTTTTTGAATGGCAAATTCCTTGACGTTGGCTTTAAATTTTTAAGCAGAGTATGCTTTTAATTATAAATTTTTTGTAATCAAACTAGAAAAAACTGGCATGATAGTTCATTTATCTTTGCTTAATTATAAGTTATTATTGATTCCATGCAGGATATTTCTTGCTATATAATGAACCTTAGGGACCAGAATAACAAGATTAGTGAGGTAGGAGTGAGGGGACTCTGGTTGTCATCATACCTCTGCCCATAGCTTGCCATGGAGCTTGCAGCAGAGTCTTTATTTCCTCAGGTTTGGGGTTCTTCGTTTGTAAAATATGTTTAATAATACAGTACTTGTCTTACTTCTCCTACGATGATTTTGAAAATTAGATAATGCTGAAGAAGACACTTGGAAAAGTATAAAGCTTTACTCTAATTCATTTATTCAACTCCTTTTTTTGTTGTCTAAGGTGAGTCTGAGCCTGTGGGAGCAACTTAGGCAAATACAGTGAAGTCATGATACATTATGGGTAGAACTTTGTGCTTTGCTTTGCCTTCTGATATCTGTGATATGAGTTGTACTATTCCTAATGTGCAGAGGAGGAATTTAGACTTAGTTTGGGTCAATGGCATTTCATCTCAGGTACGTCTATGGTGGAACCTTAGGGTTATGGCCTTCAGACTTAAACTAAAACAATTATTTATTAGTCTTTCAAAGTTCTCCAGAATTTTCAACATAATATTTTGTATCGAGTAGCTGGCTTTTCCTTTTCCTTAAAGGATAATGTTTCTTTTGAGAAAGTACATTTTTAGTAAGGAGATTGAAAAAAATCTGAACAAATTTTAAAATCTCAGTGGCATAATTTCTTTAGCATGCTGATAGGCATGGCCTTTGTGTCATTATTATGTCAATAACAGAGAGCATTAATAGTGGCTGTGGAGTGATTTAGCTCTAAATAAAAGTAAGGATGGAATTTTAGAGCTTCTGTGCAGTGCTTAGGTGTGGCTTCCCTCTATTTGAACCTTCATGGTGTGTTAGACTTGTCAGTATGGCTATAAGGCAGGCTCATTGGGGTCTAATCAAAAGCATCTTTGTTCATTTTCTAAATACGCAAGATCTGCTCATTTTTTCCTTTTTTTAGCCTCTTTTCGTCTTCTTTCTTCCTTAATATTTGCCCTCATTGCCCTGTCTACTCATTGTCTTTAGTTGTTTCCTTTCCTCTGCCCCAAGCATGCAGCATCTTACCTCTTAGCAGAAAGTAGTTGCAAATTTGGAAGCTAGGAACCCCATATAAAAAATATCCCTCCAACTTTGGGCATGCAGATTTATTGTTAGCAGCATTCTAATACTATGAGCTGATTGGGGTGGTCTCTTCAGTGACAGAATAGGGAGTTGCACTACGGTTAGCTATTAACATTCCACTGGGCCAGAGCGGCAGCGCTGAGAGACAGGTTGGTGCAATGGGATGAGGAGTGTTAGACTGTGAGCAAGGTAAGCCTGGTGAACTGCCTGCTATTGGTCACAGATGATAGCAACAGCTACCTGCCAACCCAGAGGCAGAAATGCAAACACACAAGCTATCTATATACTGACTACCTAGGGAGAGTTAAAGAGAGAAGTACTGATTTATAATTAATTAAGGGGTACCTCTTCTCAAGAAGCTTACAATGAAATGTAGTATTGCCTTAATAAAAACCTGCCTTACATTATCCTGCATCATTTCATTTCCTTAGTATAGCTCCATTTCCTCTCACCTTACTTTAAAGGCTTGTAGAGTCCTGATTGCTGCATTTTGTACATGACAATAGGGGCATCTCACTGATTGACTACTCCCTTTCTAATTGAAGCAATTAGATTAGAATATAATTGTATCCAAGACTTCGGTAAAAGAGGAGGTGCTAGATAATTTTTTTTAACTAATGAATGGGATATGTCATATTCTTTCCTCTGCCCTACTCAAAATTGTTTCGGCAATGGGATATAAGACATACAAGACGATTTGGTTGCTGGGGTAATTACTACTTCTTTAACTTTCTACAGATGTGGTATAATGTATTGATTTAAACAAGGAAAAAATTATGGCAAACTGTTCTTCACTTATTTCGTAGCATGGAATAGTATTTTTACCCTACTACAGGCAAGCAAGATACAATGAAAAGAAAAATACTTCATGGGTAACAGTTGATGACCCTCTCATAGAAACTGCTGATCAGGTAGATTTCTTAGACACATGCAGCAGTAAATACTGATATATATATTAAAGTACCTCAAGATTTTCTCCTCCAAATGATTTATTAATGAAATATTTTTGAGAAATGAGTGATAGACTTTTCGTGTTTTGCATATGTGTGCTTTTATCTGTGCTTTTTTTTGTGTTTCGCATATGTGTGCTTTTTTCCCACTTGAATATTGTTTTCAGTTCTTAACGAAAATCACCATGAATTTCTAGTTTTGATCTACTTTCTTCCCAATAAGACATATTGTGGGATGTCTCAATTTATAAAGAAGTCTGTGCCTTTTTGAGTCTTGTATTGGGGATGTTTAATCATTAGAATGGAACCATTACTGGCCCCCAAGTCATCCATTTATTTGATTTAGAACTGATTGCCAACTTACATTTAGATTTATTTTATTAATTTTCAAATTTCTGAAACTTTTTTGAGTTGTAAATCAAATAGCATTAAGAATGATACATTAGGAGAGCTGGAAGCAAGGTTACATAAAATCGATGTGCAAGTGGGGAAGTTGCCATGTAAATATAGGACAATATGTATAATAGCCTTCCTGAGTCATTAAATAAGGTGGATAGGATATTGTGAACCGATGGAATGGCTCTCAAGGAACAGGGGTATGCCTGATCTCCAGGTATTAGATATAGTTAATGAAAACATGCATTTTAATTTAGATGATCCTTTCTTATCAAGTGAGAAGGAGGCTTTTGTTAAGAAACTGATGGTGAGGCTCTTCTTCAAGCTGCTCCTTCTAACTAACAGATGTCAAAATGAAAAGGGGAAGATCAGCTAGTAATGAGGATAACTGATACATAATATTCCAAATGGAACTGGGTGGTGTGATTAAAAACAGACATTTCTAAGATCAGTAGTAAATAAAGGATGTCTGAAAGATGCATTTATATTTAACTAAAAGGACAAAATTATAAAAATAAAATAAAAGATCATCTAGTATACTTGTATTTATGTGCAGTGCTTAGAGAAATGAATGTTCATGTTAAAGGAATATTTGGCTTGTCTTGGATGAAGATGATGCATTTCCAAGTAATTAATGTGTAATAAAATAGACATATCTTTGTTTAATTTTTTGTTGGCCTTTTACTTTCTGAAAATTCTTCAGTACCTTAAGGCCATCATAATAGATGTCTATTTTTACTGTACACATCTGTAGATGTAGATGGTATAGGAAATTGAGCTGTCTGCCCATATAGTTCTAAAGTTACTTAATGCAAGAGATGATTTATTATTTAGTTGCCATTTCTCTTAAAAGTTGAATGCAGAATATGAAAGTGCCGTCATCAGATTTTAACTTAGCTTGCTCATTCTTTGGAGTTCAGGCCAATGAACATTCGCCGTA